TCCCCTAGTGTCGCTTCCCCCTTGCCGTCAAAGCTCATCCTCTCTCCCCGGATCTTCTCTCTCTCTTCTCTTCTCTCTGTTCTCCTCGCTCTTCCCGAACACATAAACTGTTTCTCTCTTTTCCTCCTCTCGTCGCACAGTTTTTTTTAAACAAACAGTATTTTACACACGGTTTTAAACTCACAGTTTTTTGTTTGTTTTTTGTTTAGCCTCCGATTAGGGAACAAAATTCCCTCACTGGAAAAAAACACATTGGATCTAGAGTTCAGACTCTTAAAAACACCGACAAGAAAAAATACTCTTGATTCAATCGGATTTTTGCTTAAATCAAGAACCAAGCCTCTTAATTTGAGCGGATTTCCTTTTGATTTAAGCAAAAATCTGATCGATCCAAGAGTATTTTTTCTTGTCAATGTTTTCAAGAGTCTGGACTCTAGATCCAATGTGTTTATTTTTCCAGTGTTGGAAAAGTCAAAACCGGGAAACGAGGATCCGCGGAATCGTTCATTGAAATATTATCGGTCATACACAGGGTTCGACGTTGCCACATTTCCGAGAACTACTGGAGAGTATGGACTGTTTTCCTATTCCGGAGAGTAAATTATGCTTGTGTAAAAAATTAGAGCCATAAATCAGACTCTTTCCAGAATTCGACCCTTCTACGGTGTTAGAAAATTTTTTCAGCTCTTGAGATAGAAAAAAAAAATTAGATTATCCTAATTGGGAGCTTGGAGGACAAGGCGCATATGTTCAGTTTTTGAAAAAATTGAGGCACTAATGATTTCAAGTAAAACTAGTCTTAATGCACATTCAAATTCTAGTTTTTAAGCATCGAAAAGTCAGTTTGAACTTTTTTTCCGCCATGAGGATCCATGCTTTGAAACTTCAAACACGTATTTCTCTACAGAGCAAACACTGTACTTATGCGCCTTGTTCTCCAAGTTCCTATTCTACATAATTTTTTTTTTTTTTTTTTTTTTTTTTTTTTTTTTTTTAGTTCCCGTAAGCAGACGTTATTCATTTTGCCTCTAGATTATCACTTTCTTTTATGCTGCGTATAATAAGAGGAAATACACGGTACATGCGGTATCGACGGTGGAAGCACCAGACCATACTTTATCAGTCATACTTTATTTTTTAAAGGGAAAAATACTCAACCTCGATTCTTGAAAACTGCCGTGTTTTTTCATCTCTGCGCTAAAAAAAACTCTGTGAAAATCTCAAGAAATGATATTTATAGGTTTGTTTTCCTTCAAAAATATATAATGGGAGCGGTGATTTTTTAACACCGCAAACGAGATACGTGGTCCGTTAGTTTCACCATCGATATATTCTATATTCTATATTCTAGAGTATTAGTAAAAACTTTGGTGGTGTAACCAATAAGTAACAATGGGGAAAACTGAGGATTCAAGACATCTACAAAGCCCCAGTTCAATGTTTTGTTTTTCACTTGATCTTGTCTACTGTCCGTCTATTCTGGGACTACACTTGCAACTTTGATGTCTCTGTTATCGCCCCTCCTCTTTTCTCCGTTCGTCCGATTTTAAAGAGATTCTCTTCGGACAATTAGTCGCATACACGAAATTTGAGAATATTTGCGATTAATTAGAAATTTTATTGACTTTAACACTTCCACTCTCATTTCAAGGCAATTTCAGTTGAGTAATCAGTTTCATTAATAGATAATGTTCTCAGTACCGCGGCATTGGATGCCCTCTTCCCCTTCAACTATATCCCTCTTAGGGGCTTTTAAAAAATTGCGTAATGCATTTTTTTCGATTTTCAGTGACACAGGCAGGTGAGGATACCATCGTAGCCATGGTGACGTCATCTCTCATGTATTTACGCAGAATATTCTCTCTAAAAAGGGAAAAATCTCATTAAGAGAACAGCTTCCCTATCAGAGTCACGCTGTCCGGCGCGACACTTTGCACAGCTTTTGAATGAATAATCTCTGCAGGTTTGCATAACAGTTTATTCATGGTTTCTCATTTTGATTGATAGCCGAGGCACTTAGGAGTTTGCATGAAAGCTAACAGAATTTGATACTCTTGTGCGTGTTGTGACATTATATCGGACAGACATGCACAAATTCCACAACAAGTTATGATGAATGGAAAACTGTCTCGACAGTTTTGCTATTTAAACGGAAATGACTCATTTTTTGCTTTTCCGTGAAGCCTCTTACAATCGAGGAATCTTATGAAAAACAGACCACTCTACCATGCACTCATATTTTTCATGTCATTTGGGACCACTCGTTTTTCAGGAGTTATATTGCCGACGCAGGAATATTATGTTCATTTCCAAAATAGATTCAACCATTCTCAGAATTGCATGAGATGGAATGACACAGATGAAAAGACTTGATGTCAACAGTATCATTGAAATTTACCGTTTTTGGAAGTACACACTCTGTGTACCGGGTTGTGGTTCTTTCGGGAGCAGATGCTAGAACACCGTTGAAAATGACTGCAACAGACTGTAATAAAAGGATAAACAGATTTTAGAAACCAGTTGACAAAAAAGTTTTCATTCTTCTGTCTAAATTGCGGAATACAAAGAGCTAAACATTATAAACAGATTTTAACATTATATTCCAGAAACCAATCTTTCTAGCATATTTTAAGGATTTCCGTTTAGTCCGTTTAGTTTGATGGATAAACCTAAGTGGGCGATTCCCATTCCACAGCAAAGAGGGAACATTATTTTACATTATTATAAAATTATAATGCGACAGTTGTAAGTTTTGGCTAACTTAGGGTGTAGTCGAGCGCTTGGAACTTCTTGCCCGATATTTTCATCGTTCTCAAGTTGTTTTTGGCTGTTCTTTTGTCTATTTTGTTGACATAAACATGAGTGTAAACATAGCTTTTTCGATATAAACAGCTTCAGACGAAGCCGTCGAAAAGAAAGTAGACATATAGGAATCAGCCATACAGGGCATACAGGACAATTATGGCATACAGGAATCTAAGGATACTTATGTATCCTTATAGATATGCCCATTGGAACATTGTCGGTGCGTTGTTAAAGACGTAATCGGACGCACTGATAGAGAAACAGCGGGTGATATATCAACGAGAAAATGATATTGCATCCGTAATGAAATAAAAAATATAAATTGAAATAATGTAATCGATGCACCAATTATTCAGAGGGTTCTAATAATAGCCTCCTCGATGGCTGTCCATAGCTCCACATCAGCGGACGCAAAATTTACAACCTATTTCCAAAAGATATCCATGTAATCGCCTCTGATGATCCCTGATAGACTTGATAGTCATTGCAACTAAATGTCTCAAAACTAAAATAACTATAAGTAACTGAATGCGTGTACAATGTCACAACCATGGATCCGATCATTGAAAAAATAATTATTAAAAAAGGCTAATACATTTCTGCCACAATTTATTGAAAGTTTTTCGGGTGGCAAATTTTAAGGCGGGTAATTTTTAAAAACTTTAGTACTCACCACCTATGGACGGATGCTGCTACCGTGGTCACACAACGGATCGCACTGCAATGGGAAGCCAGCGGCTCAATCAAAGGCTGTTGCCCACCATAAATAACCTGTCAATCGCTGGGCCCGATTAGATCGCACCAGGTGCCAACGAACGCCGCTCAGGGCTGCACACCTTATATAATACTCCAGGAATCAGCGAAAATCCAGTCGAATTGCCAAAACGCGGCTAATATTATCGCAATAACATTGACAGGTCGCGCGACAGAGGTGCGAACCCGCGACGGGCTCAAATATAGAAATCGAAATGCAAAAATAAGCCCGGCTGATTGAGACGGGACCGCACGGGGTTGCCAATTCTCTTGGGATAATACTCGATTCCCGTACAGAGGGAAAGCATTTTCCTCAAAAGGCAACGGCTTGTTTGTGCTCTGTCATCGCTGACTTAAGGGTGCTCTTTGAATATTTTGAGTTTGAAGTGATGAGTTCCCTTGATCTTATGGGGGGTCTCAGTTAGAGTATTTTTTTATAGGGAGATTATGACCACTTCGTCTCGTGAAGATCCCTAGGACTCCAAAAAAATTGTAGAAATCAAGGTGAAAATAGGTGGAATCGGGTGAGAAGGGGCTGTTGCCAACCTTTGACGTTTATCACGTCTGCATCTGTTACCACCTGTGTTATATTATAGAGGTCAAAGTTGATTTTTTTTTTCGAGCACAGGGTGGGCCGGACCCACCATACCAGGCTTTTTTCCCGATTATTTTAGGTGGACGAAGTTGAGGATCGGGGGAGTAAATTGAGAATCGATCCTCACTTCAAAAGTTGGAGTCAAAATGTTTAAATTATTTTATTGGAGTCAGAGAGCACGAAAAATTTTAACTCGAATCGAGACCAAGAAAGCCAAAATCGGCCCATCTACGACCGAGCTACTGACCCCTAAATTTGAGAGGGGGACAAAGCCCCCCCTTCAAAAAACCCCTAACCAAATTGACGTAGAGGCTCGGAAAAAGATGTGTCCGAGGGCTCCGTCACCCCCAGAGGCTTTTCTGATGGGGGTAACGGGGGAACCCTGAACTCGTAAATTTAACCAAGGGTCCCGCCGCACTCCATCATGTTTTACATTTAGGTCCTTTTTCCGATGGCCTGTTTGAAAAATCCGAGTTCTGTTAATATCTGCCATTTTTTTAGAGGCATAATACTATGCTCCTGGCTGATTGTGGCTCAAGATATAAGAGTAAAATACAAAATACAAAGGCAGGACGTTTCCGTACCTAACGGCGCCATTATCAACTGCTAAAATAGAATTAAAAATAAAAAAGAAATTAAAATAAAACCAGCAAACGGTTGATTTCAATGCCAATTTCACCATGTAACACCGTTTGCTGGTTTTTATTTTAATTTCCCTTTTATTTTTAATTCTATTTAGCAGTTG